CATAGTTTTACAACACTCAGAGCTTCAAAGTAGAGATTACAGAGACGTGTTATCACTTCTTCTGACAGTTGACCATTCTAGTTTTAGTCAGTGGGAAAACTAAAATGCTTAAATCAGTAGTAAAAGTAAATGGAGCAGTTGCATCCTGCATAAGATCTGTTGCAAAAACCATTCAGTTATATATTCTAATAAGCTCAATGTCATGTCTCCTTCCACTGAATCTCTGCTCACGCCTCTGTCTGAACACCATCTCCTGGCAGCTAATAACCAGTTAGGACACTTCTGCTCTCCTACATTTTAGTCCTAAAAGTAGAAATAAAAATGTGTTACTGAGAATGTTTGGTTAGTTAGGAGTGACTTCTGACTCTGAGACACTTGATAAATACAGGAACAGAAACTATGAATATCCATGTGGCCAATTTGAGAGAAAAAACAAAAACCAAAAAACCAAGCAAAACAAAAACTTGCTGTCCCAGATGTTTAAGACACTAACTTCCTCTTAGAAGGAAGGTGTTGCAGAAAAATGTAAGCCAGTGTTTGTGGCTCCAGTAGGTTTTATGAACCAATATTAATGTTGTACCTATATTTTGTTTTTGGTTGTCAAATGCCAAACTATGCAAGCAGTAACTAAAACAGATCATTTTAATGCTTCTGAGTTTCCGTAAGCACCTATCGGCTAAAGGAGCACTTTTTTCTAACAGATGTACAGATTTCACTCAGGTGTTTGTATTTAATGTTTTTACTGATGTGGGTCTAACTTGTTCTCATCTGTCATTATGGAATCTGTTTTGGTATATGGGCACTGTTTATTACTTTCATATTACTCCTATTCTAAAATTGTGAAATGTTCACCATCAGTTTTCCATGTAAATGTAAAATCTGTTGTAGATTTGGAAAGTATTTTACTAGTAAACTCAAAGTGAAGGACAAAAGCAAATCACGTGAAATTAATATACTAATGGTGTGCACTACATGTCTATCAGTATCACTTATAAACTGTGTTTACACAAAAATAGTTGAGCAGTAACAATATATCCTATATATATTCATCACCTGTAAAATCAGTTTGTCTAACTCAGTCACAAATAGATGGCAATATGTGTGTAATTGTTTTAATGTAATTAGTCCATTTTGTTGTCATCCACTTTGGACTGATAAATGTATGTGTATGAGTATATCATCATTTATAATATCTCTCAATTAATGGAATATTGTTTTGTTGAAATAAATTTTGACATTATTAGCATTAACTTCCTGTTATGGGATTAATTTTTTAAGCTGTACTCTGTCGTGTTGGTACATCTGTACATATCATGAAAGGTGGAAGATTTGAAAATGCTGTATAATTGTACATGTTAAACTCACAAACATCCAGCAGTGCTCTTCTGAATCAAACTCTCAATTCTGGTGGGCATTTAGCCAATGTCAGTCAATTTGAAGAATATAGCTAGGCCTATAACTAAGGAATGGTGTGCAACAGTTTTTTCAAGGATTTTAGAAATAAAGGGAAGATTGGATATTGGTCTATAATTAGCCAGAACACCTGGATCAAGAGTAGGCTTTTTGAGTGGAGGTTTAATTACAGCAACCTTAAAAGCCTGTGGAACATAACCTGTTAAAGGAACTGCACTAAGTTGGTTAAAATCTTATTTATCAGATAGATTTCAATTTGTTCATGTTAACGATGAATCTTCCACACAAACTGAAGTTAGTCACGGCGTTCCACAGGGCTCTGGGTTAGGTCCAATACTCTTCACTTTATACATGCTCCCTTTACGTAATATTATCAGGAAATACAGTATAAATTTCCATTGCTATGCAGATGATACTCAGTTATATTTACTGTATCTATGAACCCAGCTGAATCAAATTAGTTGGTCAAACTTCAAGCATGTCTTAAAGACATAAAGGCCTGGATAACTTGTAATTTCTTTTAAACTCTGAAAAAACTGAAGTTATTGTACTTTGGCCTGAAAACCTTAGAAATATACTATCTAACCCTATAGTTAGTCTAGATGACTTAGCTCTGGCCTCCAGTACTGCCGTGAATAACATTGGAGTCATTTTCTACCAAGATATGTCCTTTAATTTAGGGGGGTGATAAACTACCACACACAAAATAGGACAACTCAACTTTATCACAAACAGCTGCATTTCAAAGCTGAAATAAGAATCCCTTGTGATTTGCTGACAATCAAAACAATTTCTAAAAATTGTTGCCACACCACCACCTCTCCCTGGAGAGTTAAAAAACGTACAGTACAAGTTCAGAGAAGGTTCCCAATTCACCAGGCCTCAGTCAAGTCTCAGGTACTAGCATAAAATCCAGGCCATGAGCGGAGCAGAAATCCTTTAGGATAAAAGTCTTGTACGCTAGTGATCTAGCGTTAATAAGAGCCATCCTCACAGTCGCCCGCCTGGTAGGTACGTGCAATGCCTGGTCCAACGGCCATAAATTAGCCCCAGCTACACCCCTCATAGAAAATCATTGAATCCTATGCTGGTAAAGAGCCGATGAGTAAGTGGTCCGGTACAATGGACCGGAGCCATCTGTAGTCCTTATGCAAGCTCAAAATGCAGGGACGGTCAGAGCTTAAATTATATCCATCGTTAAAAAGGTAAAGATCATGGCCAGCACAATGCCTCAGGTAGGCCTTAAGCCTCACCAACACCCCTCCTCTTTTTCTCCGTCTACAGCCCTTCCTCCATGGAAGACCGCAGGAAGAACGGCAACAATAGGATGGAACAGCTTCTAGAAATGGAGGAAGGCTCTTTGATGGCTTCCCTGGCTCGAAGATGAGGCAGGAAGCAAGTAATTTTGAAGAGGCAGGATGCAGGACAGTTAAAGGCAGGTTGGCAAATGAAAGTGGATTTAGGGAATCAGCTCATAGTTCCTGAGGAGAAAGTCAGCACTAACCTCAGAACAGACCTTGTGTTGGTCAGAAGCACAGTGGACTGTGTATTTTGTCAAGCTTGCAGCTCCCCTGTGAGGATACTGTAGATAGAGCTTATGAGAGGGAGAAACTGAAATACACAGAATTACTCATAGAGGCAGAGGAGTATGGCTGGAAAGTTAAAAGCTGTTGATACATGCAGCAGGCTTGAGGCCTACTTCCTGGTGTTAGCTTGACTGGTTTCTTGGAATGAATAATAACACAGGGTAGTTTCTGATGCAGCATAACAGGAAGCAGTAGTCTGGCTAGTTATTTGGTGAGCTGTTTGAAATGTTTGGTGTCTAGAACAGCAGTTGAAATGTTTGCTAGTGCTAGTCACTCTTTGTTAACAATTGGCCTGATTTAGCCTGAGGAGATAAAGGGTTGTGTTGGGTGTGTGAGTGCAGGCAAAAAGGGGGGTGGTACTGGGATGCTGGAATACACCGTTGAGCCTTCTTGGTGTCATGGGCCCAACTCAACAAAACACCAGTTAGTAAGAAGGTGCCCAACTGATGACCCTGTAGAGTTGCCTTCACTCCTATACCCACACAGAACTTATATTGGTGTTGGTGAGAATATACAGTGGGTACGGAAAGTATTCAGCCCCCCTTAGATTTTTCACTTTTTGTTATATTGCAGCCATATACTAAAATCATTTAAGTTCATTTTTTTTCCTCATTAATGTACACACAGCACCCCATATTGACATAGAGCTGGGTCTGCTCAGCTGTCCAAACACTGACACTGTTCCACCAAAACTGTCTAACAAAAGAAGACTTAACAATCCCAGTGAGTCTGTAAATACAGTGGGTACGGAAAGTATTCAGATCCCCTTAAATTTTTCACTCTTTGTTATATTGCACCCATACTGTATGCTAAAATCATTTAAGTTTATTTTTTTCCTCATTAATGTACACACAGCACCCCATATTGACAGAAAAACACAGAATTTTTGACATTTTTGCAGATTTATTAAAAAAGAAAAACTGAAATATCACATGGTCATTAGTATTCAGACCCTTTGCTCAGTACTTAGTAGAAGCACCCTTTTGAGCTAATACAGCCATGAGTCTTTTTGGGAATGATGCAACAAGTTTTTCACACCTGCATTTGGGGATCCTCTGCCATTCCTCCTTGCAGATCCTCTCCAGTTCTGTCAGGTTGGATGGTAAACGTTGGTGGACAGCCATTTTCAGGTCTCTCCAGAGATGCTCAATGGGTTTTAAGTCAGGGCTCTGGCTGGCCCATTCAAGAACAGTCACGGAGTTTTTGTGAAGCCACTCCTTGGTTATTTTAGCTGTGTGCTTAGGGTCATTGTCTTGTTGGAAGGTGAACCTTCGGCCCAGTCTGAGGTCCTGAGCACTCTGG